GACAAAAGGCTGTTTTAAACTCTCTCTCTCTTTTTAAATATGATGTATGCGTATATTGTTAGTCTATTAACTGGTGGAAAGTGATGCAAGAGGTGCTAGGGATAGTTCACTCAAAAACTGGAAATGTTCTGTTACAGTAATTTACTCGCCCTCACATCATGCAAGATGTAGTGACTTGATTTCTTCAGATTAGAAGAACATGAGGGTTCTTTTATATGAAACCTTGCTGATGCATAAAATGCAAGGTCTTATGAAGCTAGAGAATCAGTCTGTGCAAGAAATTATACATTACACTCCTTTTAATAATTTGGCAACTGAAATCTCTTACACATGTACATGATCTAAGGTAAAGTGACTATTTCTTTTTTCCTCCGACATGTCCTCCTTTTGGTACTTGCATCCATTTCTAAATGTTCTATATCCAGCATTTAAATGTATGTGTTTTTGCATACTTTATACCTTACACAATGTGTCTGTGAAGTTTCAGCCCAAAACACCCATCAGATTATTTATTATACCTTTCAGAATATTGGATTTTTCTGCTCTAAACACAATGTAGCTAATTTTGTGGCCTGTGCCTTTAAAAGTGGCACCCCCAGAACATTTTCTCAGGGATGGCCAGAAATAATTCAGCAAGTACATGTGCAAACCAAATAAAAATCAATAATAAGTTTAAAAACACTTTTCATATAACTTTTTAGTTATTTTTCACATACTTTTATTGTACAGCATACAGTATATGCTATGTCTAAAACTAATGAAAATTATTGAGTTAATAAAACAAACAATTGAACAAACTGAACAAAAGGCATTTCTAAATACACACACCCACCATACAGACCCTAATAATATCATTTATCCATATTCCTTTTTGAGCCACAATATTATTAATGCAGCTTTTTCTACTGATGTACCTTAAGGTAAGTATTAAATTGCCATTGCTGTCTTTTGATGGTGTGTGCGTGCTTTCAACGACGATCGGGTAGGGCAGTTGCTCCCTGGGTGAACCAAGCCATACACCCCCACCCCCCTTAAATTGTTAGCTTTGTTATTCAATAAATATAACAATTTATTTATATTTATTCTAAATAAGTACAATTATTATTAATATTATTATACAATTATTATTCTAAATAAATAACAGAAGTCATTCCTTAATGTTACTGGAATACAATGTATCAAGTAGAGGGGTATGTTAAGATCACTTAAGAAACCTTTTGCATGAATATTAATTATGATAATTCTAAAGAATTGAAATACTTAGACCCGACTTTTGGCTAAGAATTAATGAAGTCTTAGCTCCATGACACTTTATCCCTCCTTTTTGCTTTATAGCCATGCTTAGTGAAAGTTACATCATCATCATATTATATAAACTTTAGTTGTGTGGACTTGAAAAACTCGCTGTGTGCCGACACTTCTGCAGAAAAGGCTGTTACTCCGGTTTCACGCCATTTGAGCGGCACGTATTTTATCAGCGCGCATGCAAACAACCAGTTTGCTTTCACCACCGTTGTTTCGGTTGCACATAGAGAACTCGTGCAAAAGATGCCAAATGTAAACACCCTTAAAGTCTTTATTCTGGGATTGCCACTCGTAAATCATATTCCAATGCTTTTACTAGGGTATTTTTTATTTATTTATTTTTTACCGTCTCTGCGGGCTGCCCAAAGCAAGATGCCACCCTGGGCAATCATCCATATTGCCCATGCCTAAATCCGCCACTGGGGGAGGGTAGGGGCAGTGAATCAGGTATGTCAGTGGCACCAACAATAATTAAGTGGCTGCATTTTATTTATTTATTTATTGAAATATTGGGAATTTACATAAGTACAATAAAATTAATAACATCAACAGAAAAGTCATACTTTGGTGGCCTAAGGTGTGGTGAGAGTTTACCCACGGGTGACCGTGGTCTTCAATGCTAGTTCTCCCTGCCCACCATTCCCGAGTGACTGTCATAGTGTGCCTCAATCTCCACCTTGGCTGTGTCAGATAAACAGCACAGTGACAGACATGAAGCAGGTCTCACGTAATGTTTGTGAGAAAATACTACAGTAAGAATGAAGAGTTTTATTGTATTTATTTAGAGTTAATTCAGGCCTTTTGCAATGAGTCACACACAATATCAGTACAAAGTTCACACACACATGTTAATACGTGGCTGTTAATCAACTCGGTGAGCGGGGAAAAACGTCATGTTGTGGTGGGTCTCAAAATGGGAGGGATTTGGATCCTATTTTAACATCATGAAATAAAAAAAGAGACTTATTGTCTTTATATCACTCCAATATGACTGTGGACACACTATACAGACAGTTCTGTCCAAACAGCTTACAAAAGATGATTTTCATCATAGGTGCCCTTTAATTATATATAAAATGTATAGGTTGTGGATTAATTTGGAGGATGCTCATGACAATATTTGCCATGCCTTGTTGTGCCGCCATCATTGGTCGGTCATGTACACATTTCTAAAAGAAATTCTAATATATTTTATGTTGGCATAACCCTTATTCATATTTCTGTGATATAATGCGAAAAAATTGCAATTATTTTTGCTGGTGTGACTTAATATAGGAAGTTTGATTACACTCAAAAAAATGTAATGAAAAAAAGTCAAGATAACAATTATTTTTATGTTGCTTTAACTTATTTTAATCAGCTAATCAGGTTTCAACTTTTTTGTAAATTATACAACATTTTACTTAAGGTGACTAGAAAGTAATTTGATTCAACCTAAAATATTAGGGCAGCAAGATTTTTCTAGTGTAGATAAAAATCCTTAAATCTTCTTCAACTTTTTCAACTAAAACCAGTTCATGTTACCTAACAAACCTTTTTTTTTTGCAGTACAGTGATAATTCTAGCACATTTTGTCCTGCGGATTCACATTATACACACTTTTTTATAACCTTTAGTCACTTTATACTGCTGCCAATCAAGTCAAGATGTTCTGCTTTTGCTCATTACATGTAGCAAAATGTGGGTCAAGACTTTTCCGTGTAATTTGTTTTCCCCTTACTTGGAGAAGAGTACCTCTCTGATACACTTTAAATAGCATAATTAACAACTGTGTTCAGTTCAGTTTTGTTAGCACCTTTGCGAAAATCTAATTTGTCGGTCGAATGTGGCTGTCACTCTTGCAAATAACCAAACTCTGTGTGTTGAAAACGAGATTAAGCAGAAGTGACAGTCGTATCTACCTACATGAGTTCTCGGTGACTTTCTTTAACCACATGACAACAAATCTCATTCCGCTAGTCGGAGCACCCAAGCCGGTCTCTGATTGATTTGGCAAGAAAACACTGTGGCCCTGCAGTCTAGCAGTGGAGTGCTGCTGTTCTCCATAATCGCAGTGAGACAGAACGCCTCAGCAGGCCTCAGGGCAGCCCGTTTGTCTGTATGGATCAGTGTGCCAGATGGGAGTCAGTGTTCTAGGATCAGGAGAAGCTAATGCATCATCCCACTGTTAAGAGCCTGAAAGACTCCTACAGTGTCATAGATTACTGCTGTTAGCTTAAATGGGAATGCAAGTAGGCCGTCCTTCAGTATGCCACATACTGTAATATTTATGCAGTCCCTTTTAAAGCTTGAGATGTTGATGGCAATTGAATGGACAGATTAGTGCACTAAAGTTTGAGACTAGATTTTGTCCGTTGGTCGTAATTGAGAAAGCAGGTACATTTAAAGCTGTCATTAAATGGAGTTTCAGATTTTTATCTGAGGTTTTTTTGCACCAAAAATGTTATTATATATATTTTTAAAAACAGTTGTTTAAAGGTTTGCAATGACAAAACAGTGGTATAGGTGTCTCATGTCACCTATGATTATTGTCCATCAGCTAGCTGTTCAAGTCTTTTGTGAAAGGTAAATTCACATAATATACATCCATCAAAAACGTCAATATACATTCTCCAAAAACTCCCGAAGAGGAATCCAGATATGTCATAAGTCTGTTTTTTTTTTTTTTTTTAAGGGTAAGAAAATGGCAATCTGATTCATTGACAAAGGAATGTTAGGAAAGGACCACAACAAAAGTATACATTTTCTTGTTTAATAAGTATAAGGGTGTAACACAGATTCTAGTCCATGACTAAGATGTAGACCAATTTTACAATGAAAACAAAATATAGAACTGGAAATAGGGCCAAAGGTTTACCAATAATCTTCTGAACTAGTTTGTAGATTTCTTTCCAGTTTTTCTTAATCATGTCACAGTACCAGAATACGTGCATCACAGTACCAACATTGGATTTGCAGTTAAAACAACTTTGCAAAACATTAGGAAATATCTTATTTAGACAAACTGGTGTTAAAGAAATTCTGTAAAATCAATTAAAATTTTGCTCGTGCTTTGATATTGTGGCACCTTTGAAAAATATGCCAGAACAGACTAAAATCCATTCTTCATCACAATTTTTTTTCCCCACAATCTTTCTCCCATGTACCTTTCAAGGAGATAAACAAAATTTTTTATAAAAGTAGCACTTAAACTAAAATTTGATCATGGTTAACCTCTTTTAATAATTCAAAATAGACAGTAAGCAATCATATTGTTTTTGAGGAATGTTTTGTAACTGTTATATTGTATAGTATTGTAAATATTTTATGATAGCCATTGATTTCATACTATAATTTTTCTAGTCAATAGCTACTGTTAACATACCAACATAGTAAAGGTAAGTAAATGATGACAGAAAGCACAGTTGTTAGTGGTTGTTAGTGGTTGTCAAAAACAACACCTTAATTACTGTAATAATTTGTAATTATTTCCTGCTGTTAATAAATTACTTGATATATCAGCATTCATTGCATTGCTGATAATCGATTCAGCTACAGACCTTATTGTGTTTTAGTTTAAGATTAATTGAAAGTCTTATAATAAGAGATTTTGGCTGTAAATGGACCCAATACAGAGTTTATAATTAGCTTTGAAAGATCTACTAACTGTCAGATTGAGCGTATTGATTTTTGTCCTGGTTTGTTTTGTTTTCCAGGCGTTCCGATGGCCAATTGGGAGTCAAGTGGATGGCGACGAGATGCTGGAGATCCAAGTGTTTAATTACAGCAAAGTCTTCACTAATAGGTAGGACAACTCAATACATTTGCTGTGACCTTAAAAAAAGATTTCAGCCTGTTAATGGACTGGCTTCTAATCGTGTAATATTTATTGACATACTTCGATACTGCAATGTAATCAATATACAATTATTACAGACTTAAGAAACATATATAGTGAAACACGACCATACAGTAAGTGCAAGTACACTTCCATAAGTTTACGTGCTCAACATTCAACCTGTTTTATCCAAAGCAACAACAATGACTATTCCAATATTTTGCAATGCAGAGTTCACACTGTATGACTTTAGCTCTGATTTTCACTTGCAGACAGGTTTTGTGAAATATACGCACAAGCGACAACCACAGAGTGTAAATATTCTAAGATGTGATCTGAGAGAATTGTTAATGTGTCAAAAGCTTGTTGTGTGAAAAAAGAATTCTGAAAAACACATTGGCTATTACCTACAGCCAATAAGAGAGCAAGATACAGGACAGCAGGGTGGTTGTGGAGGAGTTATAGACCACAATCTCAGAATAAGCTTTACCATAACACTAAACAGGAGTTTGCATGTTCTCCTCGTGTTAGCATGGGTTTCCTCTGCATGCACCATTACACTGTGGCGACCCTCATTAATAAGAAACTAAGCTAAAGGAAAATGAATGAATGATTTCATTCATTGATAACATTAAACAAAAACAAAGCAGAAACCTTTGCAGCAGCATGTTGCACGATTATTTTTTGACAAATGTGAACTCTGATCTCACGTGTGGTCTTGAGTGATTAAGCAAACTTTTTGCGGTCTTTTGCAAGCTTGACAGAGTTGTCTGCAATTATTTCAAGGGCAGTAATGCAATGTTTATCCTCCTGTCACTGATCTATCATGCAGTGTGAACACAGCATCAACTGTATGCTACCCCAGAGAGTCATACCGTGTGAAAATAACCGTGATTCAAAAACTTTGAAATTCATGCAGTGTGGCATTTGACATGCTATGGTTTGTTTATTTTACAGTGAGTCTTTGCTAATTCCATCTCACCATACAGGACCTCGTGAATTATTCGTTCATTCATTTTCTTTTCGGCTTAGACCCTTTATTAATTTGGGGTCGCCACAGCGGAATGAACCGCCAACTTATCCAGTATATGTTTTACGCAGCGGATACCCTTCCAGTCGCAACCCATAACTGGGAAATATTCACACACACACTCATACACTACTGTCAATCTTAGCATACCAAATAAATCTGTACCACATGTCTTTGGAGGTGTGGGGGAAACTGGAGCACCTGGAGGAAACCCACGTGAATACAGGGAGAACATGCAAACTCCACAAAGAAATGCCAACTGACCCAGGCGAGGCTCGAACCAGCGACCTTCTTGCTGTGAGGCCAATGTGCTACCCACTGTGCCACCGTGTCGCCTACTCAGGTAGGCTGAGGTGTTGACACAATGCTCAATTAGTACTAATGGGCCCAAAGTATGCTAAGAAAATATCCCCCACACCATTACACCACCACCACCAACCTGAATTGTTGATTCAAGGCAGGATAGATCCATACTTTCATGTTGTTGACGCCAAATTTTGACCCTACCATCTGAATGCAGCAGCAGAAAGACCTGCAACGTTTTTTCAATCTTCTATTGTCTGATTTTGTTGAGCCTGTGTGAATTGTAGATTCAGTTTTCTGTTCTGAGCTGACAGGAGTGTCACCCGGTGTGGTCTTCTGCTACTGTAGCTCATCCACCTCAAGGTTTGATGTGTTGTGCATTCAGATGCTCTTCTGGATACCTCAGTTGTAATGAGTGGTTATTTGAGTTACTGTTGCCTTTCTATTAGCTTGAACTCTGACCTCAAACCATTCTCTGTAAACCCTAGAGATGGTTGTGCTTAAAAATCCCAGTAGATCAGCAGTTTCTGAAGTACTCAGATCAGCCTGTCTGAGACCAACAACCATGCCACATTCAAAGTCACTGAAATAACCTTTCTTCCCCATTTTGATGCTCAATTTGAACTGCAGCAGATCGTCTTGACCAGTTCGTTCACAAATCTGATTAAATGACAGTCATGTGATATTATACTAGCATTGTCTGTGTTCCAGCCTCTTCACACTTCATTGTACAACATAATGCACATTTAAGACTGTTTCAGCCTAGAATGTTAGATTTCAAATATGCAGTTAATAGCCTGTCAAGAGCAACTGATGCTCCTGTGTAAAAAACATACATCTTTTCAGAGATCAACAAATCCCTGAAATACAAGTCAAATATCTTCATTTATTTCTATTCTAGACATATTTATAGTTAACTTTATTAAATTGCCAATACATTAATGAGAGAGCAGTTATAATAAGGAGGTCCACCTTATTGACTCCTCTTATTTTCTAGAATATAAGAGATATATTGTTATCTATATATTGTATTGAGATGCAGGGCTCATGTTTTATTTTATTTCTTCTGTACTAGTACCTGTCAGTATTTGCCCGGTGAAATGTTCTCGTTTTCCTGTGGTTATCTGTGGCTGTGTGTGTTTTCCATCTGCTGTCTTCCTCCAGAGTCCCTGGTTTCACTGACAGTCATTACCAGCTGTAAATTCAGTCCTGCCAAGGTGTGACACTCCTGCTAGAGCAGTCAATGTGCGTGTGTGCTGCAAGCGTATATACGGTTAACTTCCGGCTGTTTCACCAGATTGCAGTAGACTTTTGGATGAGAGATTGCAGTAGCGTAAACATATTCTCTGATGCTCTCACATGTCAGTGAATCTAAACTGTTCCTATTTAAGTTGATTTCCTTCTCAAGCGTTCTGGCTGTGTGAACACAACTAAAGTAAACAAACAGCCACCAAGTATCAAAATTTGAGTACATAATTTAAGTTAATTGAATTGTGGTGTGCAATCTATGTTTTGTGTTATCATAGGCATTGTTTCGACTTCATCTTTTGTGGTCTCTGTGACACCTGTGAATAGATCACAATGTATGAGAAGAGCAACCGCTGAATAATTCAAACAGCACCATGACATGTGTCACCCGTGCAGCTCATTAGCTATTTGTTTGTTATTTACAGATGTAATATCTATCCATCCTATGCATTACACATTTGACCTCATTGATGGGCAGCTTGTGACATCCAGGCCTTTGCAAACTCTGAGCAGCAGGTGTGAGAGCGATGTGTCAGTCCAGATCGATGTGTAGTTCAGAAACTCTATCTTCCTCATGTCAGTCTTTAGGGTTATGCATTAGAGATGGACATTTCTAAGCCTTGGAGAGGATCAGACAGTAATTGAGAATTAATGGTGATTTATTGATAGCTGTGGTCGTTGTTTCATGGCCAACTGGCCACCAGGTGGTGACGTTGTTGATGGATCTGGTGAAATTAATAGGATGTCATCATGCAGTTAAAGTCAATATTGGAAAAAATCATATGGAAAATATCAATAGTTTGGGGGGTTGCTTTTGCTCATGAAAGAAATTAATATTTTTTATTTAGATAGAATGCTTAACACTTTATAATAACTACACACTATAAATCATTTATTAAGCAATAACAAATAGGAAATTCATTATTTGTTGAGCATTAACTCTACATTAACAGACATTAATAAGCAGTTTATAACTGCAGATGCAAATGATCTGTTATTGACTTATAAGCACATTTAAAATGCGCTGAATAATTGTCCTTTCATACTTTGTTTATTAATTTTTCACTAAATTAAGTATTGCATTTTTTACAAATCCTTCTAAACTATTCAAATCAACATTTATAATTCTTCTTATTCAGGCATCTGTTAATAGTTAATTGTTTCTGTTAATTAAAGCTTTATTAACTCAACTTCATGCAGTTTTGTGACCTAGAGGACTATTTATGCTTTATAAATACCTAATAAATGATAATTCAAGAGTTCACACTTAGATATTGCTTGACGACTGTAAGCAGGTTTGGCATGCTGTCCCGGGAGAGAACCCTGAGCTCGGAGATAGTTGAGCCCAGGGCTCCCGCCAGGTCCATAGAGCATGTAAGGGGAGTACGAGATCAGGTGGTTCTCGAGAGCTCCCCTTTTTAAAGGGAGGAAAGGAGGAGATAGGGGGTGGATGGGGGGTTTCTTCGGAAAACGAAGGTAAGGGAGTAATATCTAGCTAGGCTATTTATAGTAATTTGGAATAGATCTGATTGGCTAACTAATGAGTGTAGATTGGCGGCCAGCTGCGGTCAATTATATCACGTGCTCCTCTCGAAATTAGTTTAAAAACTTCACTTCAAGAGTTCACACTTAGATATTGCTTGACGACTGTAAGCAGGTTTGGCATGCTGTCCCGGGAGAGAACCCTGAGCTCGGAGATAGTTGAGCCCAGGGCTCCCGCCAGGTCCATAGAGCATGTAAGGGGAGTACGAGATCAGGTGGTTCTCGAGAGCTCCCCAAATGCATGAAGCTCGGGACAGCAGCCGTGTATTCGAAGAAACTCCCCAAAAGGCTTGAAATGCTATATCCGGCTGCTGGATATAGTTATTTGAAAGGAAATGTAAAGAGGGCTCCTTGGAGCAAAGGGTGACACAGGTTCCTGCGGGAACCCGAGCAGAGTTGGCTTGGGCTGTGAATACTCCTGCTGGAGTAGAGACTCGGGGAGACCCCTGCGGGGGTCAGAGCCATGGGGTGGGCGGGAATCCTGCTGGAGTCATTACAAGGGAAGGGGAGTGAAGGACTCCGGCTGGAGAGGGGGGTGAAGGGGGGCAGGGGGGGGGCGGGGACTCCAAAGGAGTAATTTGCTCGAGGAACACTCCTTGCGGAGATTGAGCTGGGAGGTGGCAGCACTATATATAATTATATATTTATATGAAACATATAGATATATAAATATATAATGGGGTAATCTAGGGCATTGGGGGGGGCGTTTTTTTTTTTTACTGACTCTTGAGAGAGTCGAAGCTCTTGGCTCTCCTGCGGGAGAGAGAGCTGTATGTGCCATCTCCAGCTGGAGTCGGGAAAAGGAATGGTCGGTGAAGCCCCAGCTGGAGGGTGAAATGGCAGT